TGGAGCCCAGCTGAGGACCTCATATGGGGACAGGAGAGGCAGGAGGCTCGTGCACGGAGTCCCTCGGCCTCGAGAGGGAGTGAGGATTGGGCCTGTCAGGAAGCGGAGAGAAAAGCACGGGCTAAAAATAGGAGCATGGAGCAGGTGTGGGGGACACCAGGCGCAGCGCCGCTGCTTACGTGACGTGACGTGACGTTCTGCAGAGGACAAACCTGGCAGCGCCTGTCCCCTGAGGTCACTGGGGACGGAACCTCCCATGCGGGAGGGACTCTCACACCTCGGGGCAGGCTCTGCCCCGCCCCCCAGTTTTTGTTTGGTTTAGTAGGAAGAAAATGTTGAGTTGGCATTTTGTTGATTATTCAAGAGGCAGATTATTTCTCCATATCATTCCCACTGCTTTTATCTCCTCCTTGAAGACAGTTGGCCGCTCTGCGGTGTGAGCGGCCTGGAGGGGCTGGGCGCCTGGCATGCTGGGCCACTGAGCATTACTTATGAGTATTGGTTCAATGCATGCAGAAAAATTCACAGCAGGAAACTTCAGAGCAGAGAGCCAGGCTCTGGCCTGCTTTTCCCTGTCCTGCGTGAGGCATCAGACATCTCGAGGACACCTGGAAGGAGGGCATGTGGCCGGGCCCGTGGGAGCCACACACACTCACCGTGGCCCCTTTGAAGAGTCTCGTGTTTACATTTTAAAGTTAGGTGGCCTGGATGGGCATGCGGCTTGGGGAGGCTCGCCCCTGCCTCACAAGCACAAGGCCCTCAGTTCAAGACCGAGTAAGCCCCTCCCCAAAGCCAGCTGGCGTTTCTCAGCTTTAAACGGAATGAGTGGACACCCCTGCAGTTGAGAGGCCCGAGGGCCCATTCCCCCCAGTGGCAGCATCTTGCCAAACTGTGGTACAACGTCACAACCAGGCAGGAGTGCAGATCGGCCGTCTGACAAACACCTGACCCAAACGGCGAAGGGGAAAGGTTTATGAAGTCTCCAAGCCAGAGGCTGCGGGCCCCCTCCGCTGCAGGGGCTGCTGGGGCCCCGAGTTGGCTGCAGAATATCAGCTGGTGTCGGGGAGGGTGTGGCAGAGGCCGTTCACTCCAGCGGTCAGCTGGGGCGGGACGAGGCCCACCTTCCCAGGATGCCCTCATCTGTCCCATTAGGAGCCTCCTCCAGTGGTCCATTTGATTAGGAATTTGTCCATGGATCAATCCACTGATAGGAGCAGAGCCTGTATGATCCAAGTCCAGTGCTGCTCAATAGCGCCACCAGCTGGGGACTGTCTTCAACACAGGAGTTCTCTGGTGACTACGAATAGGGCATGGGTGCTGCCTGTGGAGATGCAGAGTCCCTCCCCCTTGAGGATTGCTGCTCTTCCACAGCCACGGCCCCCCTTCCCCCCCAGCCCCACACACCCCCTTTGGCCCCAGGCACTTCAATTTTGTCATCTCAGGAGTGCTCTGTGGGTGGAGCGGAGTTAATGGCCTGGGTTCTTGGGTTGGATTTGGTACATTTAGCATTATCTCTAGAGAAGCATCCAGGTTATTGACAACATCAATGGTGTCTTTCTTTTCTGGGTTGAGTAGTATTCCAAGGTGTGTGTGGCTCACTGAAGGACATCAATGTTGTTGAAGCCACTTCACAGCTGCTCTGGTTAAGCCTGCTCTGATTGTCTGCTGACTTACCCTTTTCTTTTTACCCCAGTCAGCTGTGCAGAGGGGTCGAGCAAGGACTGCTGAGCCTCGCTCTCAGCAAAGCACAGACCATACGTCTTTGCAGCCGGAAGGCTGTGCCAAGGGCTACCAGGAAGACCCCTGGAGCTCGAGGCTCAGAGGCTTGACCAACCAACCAACAAAATGCCATCTCATGAGAAAGGGCTTTGGAAAAAGAATGCACGCAGTAAATAGGATTGGAATCAGCTTCTGCCGACTTTAAAGGGAGTGACTAATCCAGTATTTGCACGGAGGCCAAGGGTTTTTAAATTCCCATGCGGTTGAAGTAAATAAAGAAAATGCTCTCATTTGTTTACCTCGGGGAAAACTGTCCATCAGTCCACTTCCTGCCCCAGGCAGAGTACGCTCCCCTCCCCCCATCCCAGAGCCAGGACCTGCCCGTCTTCACCGGGTGACGCCTGGGGCGCTTCCCAGATTCTCTCTCAGCTGTGTGTGGCTTCGGGCCAGAGACAGAGCCTTCATCTGGTGTTCTCAGGCTAACAGAGTTACGGGTTGATTTAAATTTAGCATCCACGAAGTTCGAAAGGTCCCGGCTTGCCCTGCATCTGGTTAGAAGCCAGCACCTCTCACAGCACATGGAGGGCGCGGGGTCTCTGCCGGCTGACAGGATTTTCTCTCATCTCTGCTCTCAGCACGCTGCTGCGTGTGATTCTCTCTGTATGCGTCCTACTCAGCTTTGGCTAAGTTTTCTGTTCCATGAATTATTTTATTCCAAGTCTATTTAAAAAATTGACCATTATTACACTTGTTTTTTTGCCCTGGTCTTATTGTCTTTCACAAGTTCTGTTGCGTGTGCGTCCGGCCATTTCGTATTGCTCCGAGTCTCTGTTCACTTCCTGCCACCTTTTTTCTTCTTCAGATGGAGTGATTTCTGCTGACCTGTCGTTACCGGCAGGCTCCTCTTTCTGAGACCTCCGTCAGGTGACATTTTCACTTTAATTACTGGATTTTTCAGCTCTAGAATTTCCACGTGATTTTTAAATTTTTTTTTTTTTTTACTACTTCCTACTACTTACTGTGAGTTCCTAGTTCTTCACTAGCCCATGTGTTCACTTAATCCTTTGAACATACTTACTCTATTTCCTTTAGGATTTTTGTAAATGAATGATCTGGGCTGTCTGCAGGCTGCTTTCTACTCATCCTCTTCTGGAAGTGGCTTACCTTTTTTTTTTTTTTTTCTTTCTGGTTCTGGGGCTTGAACTCAGGACCTGGGTGCTGTCCTTGACTCTCTTTACCATTTGAGCCACAGAGCCACTTCTGGCTGTTTTGAGATTTGATCCTCAGGTCTCAGTCTCCTGAGTAGCTAGGAATACAGGCATGAGCTACCAGCTAACCTTCTTATTTTGCCTTTGCGTGGCTAGTAATTTATTAGTGCATTTTAGACATTGATAAGTAATACACTATAGAGACTGGGTTATCTTCCTTCTTCAAGCCTTGCCTTTTGTGCTAATTCCAGCTTGGCACTTGGCTAGTCTTGTTCCCTGTGGGCTCCTGTATGTTTTGAAATGTCTCAGATGGATTTGAGGACTGTTCAAGGTGCTTCCCAACCCTCATCTTGGCAAGGCTCCATGTCCAAGCTTTACCTGATTGGACCATGGAGTCTCTGCTTTGGGCCTTGTGAAGGCAGGTGTACAGTAGGCCTCATTTCAGGGCAGGGATTGGCAATTGGCCACATCTAGCTAGTCTCTCTCTGAGTAGCCCTTGAGCTAAGAACACTGTTGAGACCATCAAGGAGTTGAACTAGGTACTGGTATAATCCTAGCTACTCAGGAGGATTGTGGTTCAAAACCAGCCCAGGCAGTAAAATCTGTGTGACTCTTATCTCCAATAAACTACTAAAAAAAACCCCAAAAACTAAAAACCAAAAACAACAAAACCCAGAAGTGGCAGTGTGGCTCAAGTGGTAGAGCACTAGCCTTGAGCACAAAAGCAACTCAGGAACAGCACCCAGGCCCAGAGTTCAAGCCCCCTGACCCCACCCACCCCCCACAAAAAAAGTTAAAGTGGTGGTAATGGGGACAAGTATGAGGCAAAATCCATAGCAGCATGTGAAAGCTAAACTCCTTTTTCACTTGACAGATGGGAGCTGGCTGGTCTGGGACGGGTTCTGTTTCCTGACGGGTCTTTCCAAGCGCTGCCGACCTGTGGTTTCTGTGTCACTTTAGGCCAGCACAGACAGCATTCCAGGCACCCAGCCCACATTCGGCCCAGGTCGCAGCCCTCAGGTCCCACCTTGCAGGGGCCCCATCCCTGACCAGCCCTTCTCTCCCTAGGCTCTGTCAGGTGGGTCATCTCCCTCATCAGCTGTCCTGTGCCTGGCCCCTGGGCCTTCGCGTGGCTGCATCACTACAAAGCCAGTGGCTTGGCTCCGGTGAGGTCCCTGTGCTCCTCATCTGCAGGGCTGGCCCGGCTTCACCTGCTCAGGAACAGACGTGAGGCTGAAAGCCAAGTGTGATTCTGTGACATTCCTGCACTGTACTGCCGCCGCGGGCACAGGGCCAGCACCACAGCCCAGCTCTGGGGGCGGGAGGGGGCTGCTGAGGGGTCACCAGGCCAGTGTGACGGCTCCAAAGGGCGGCAGGAAGCAGTGTTCTCAGGGGATACATGGGGACTCGCGTGCTGGGCAGACACTGCTGACCACCGCCTGCTGCATGGACTCGCGTGCTGGGTGGACACCGCTGACCACTGCCTGCTGCGTGGACACATGGCAGACACCGCTGACCACCGCCTGCTGCGTGGGCTCGCGTGCTGGGTGAACACCGCTGACCACGGCCTGCTGTGTGGACACATGGAGGACACCGCTGACCACCGCCTGCTGCATGGACACATGGCGGACACCGCTAACCACCGCCTGCTGCATGGACACATGGTGGACACCGCTGACCACCGCCTGCTGTGTGGACCAGAAGCAAAGGAGACTCAGCCGGGAACGCAAAACCACGCTCCTCCAATCCCCGCTCCTCCGCAGGGAGACCCGGCCCCTCTGATCCCTGCCCCGCCCCTCACTCCTCGCCCCGCCCCTCACTCCTCGCCCCGCCCCTCACGCCTTGCCCCGCCCCTCCCCACCCCCATCCTCGCCCCGCCCCTCACTCCTCGCCCCGCCCCTCACTCCTCGCCCCGCCCCTCACGCCTTGCCCCGCCCCGCCCCGCCCCACCAAGCCCCAGCGCTCGGCTCTCCGCCGGGCCGCGCACCCCTTCCCGTCGGAGGGCAGGCGGCGGGAAGAACCACCCCTTTAAGTCGCGCGCCCCGGAAGTGGTCATGTGGCGGCGCCCAGGCCGGAAGTGGACGCGGCCGGCAGCGGCGGGCGGCGCGGCGGGCGGCGGCTCGGGAGCTGCCAGGGGGCCGCCGGCGCGGCGGAGGCGCGGGTCGTCCGGCCCGGCGCGGCCTCGGGTGCCCATGGGGCGCGGGGGGCCGGGCCGGTGACGCGGGGCCCATGGACGCGGCTGAGGGGCCGCCGCCGCCGGTGATCTACACCATGGAGAACAAGCCCATCGTCACCTGTGAGTGCGGGCGGCGGGCGGGCGCGGGGGCCGCGCCGGGCCGCAACGCCGCCGCCGCGAGGTGTGGCCGCCCGGCCGGCGGCGGCGGCGCGGCCTCGGCCCGCCGTGGCGACCTCTGACCTTGCCGGGGGGTGACCTCCGACCCCGCCGCCGCGCGCCGCGCCCCTGGCCCTGGGGTGCGGCCGGACGGCGTGGCGCCCCGCCCCGCGCGGCCCGGCCCGGCCCCGCGCGCCCCGCCGGGCGGCCCCGAGCCCCGCGCGCCGCCGTCCCGCGGAGGCCCGGCTCCCGCGGGCGGGCGGGCGCAGCCCCGGGGCAGCGGGCGTCCTGGCCGCGGAGGCCCGGCCTCCTCGGGACGCCGCGCCTCCCACACCAGGCGTGCGGCTGTCTTGCTGCAGGAAGAAACGACTCGGTTTTCCAAGCGTGAGTTGAGAATGGCCGAGGTGGGCTGACCTTTAACCCCGAGGAGCAGGACGGGCGCCAGCGCCGCGCGTGCGGACCGGAAGCTCCGCCACTGCCCGCGGGCGCCCGGCCGCGCCGGCCCCTCGGCTCCAGCGCCCGGCCCGCTCCCCTCCCCTCCCCGGCCGGTCGTAGCCGCACTCCCTGCTACTCCCTCTTCTCAGTCTCTGGGTCCCAGTTTGCATATTAACTTGGTCGGGCCTTGGGCTTTGACAGGAGTGGACTGCCTTGGTTCAGCAGTGGCTGGTTCTTCCCTTCTCCCCAGACTGTGTGTCCGTGTGTGTGTGTCTGTGTCTGTCTGTCTGTCTGTGTCGCTGTGTGTCCGTGTGTGTGTGTGTGTGTGTCTGTCTGTCTGTGTGTCCGTGTGTGTGTGTGTGTCTGTGTCTGTCTGTCTGTGTCTCTGTGTGTCCGTGTGTGTGTGTCTGTCTGTCTGTCTGTGTCTCTGTGTGTGTGTGTGTGTGTGTGTTGAACGCAGGGCCTCAAACTCTTGCTTGGCTTTTTCTGCTCAAAGCTGGTACTGTACCACTTGAGCCACACCTCCTCCACTTCCAACTACCCTGCCAGGATTCTCGGCCTCCTCAGGAGCTGGAATTGACCACCCGAGCCAGGCTTCACCAGAATGTTAGAAGTCTGGGCAGACTCTGCACCTGCAGGTGGGGTGGACAGATATGGCCAAAGCTCTGTTCATGCTCGGATGTGATACCTTCTAGATCCTGGAGAATTTTCTCCTGAAGTGCTGGACGAAGATCCATTGCTTGTAGGGGCACCATGTATCTAGGAATAGTCCGTGGGCATTTATCCTTTCCGAGCATAAAGCCCTGAAGCCATGTTGGATTCCTCCGAGACTAACAGACTTCATCGTCCTGGAAGTCAGTATTAGAGACCTTTAATGTTTAGTTTTGTTTGTGTGCCCACAAAAGCTACAGAGTGCCACACCTTCCTGGGTCGGATCAGAGACTTCCATGAGGGAGGTTTGCCCCTGATTTGTACCTTTGGAGGCAGAATGAGAAACTGTACAGTTCAACCTTTCATTCAGTGGAGTTTGAGAAAAGAAAGCATCTTCAGGTTCAAGTGCAGAAGGGAAAGTTTTGTGTGTGGTTTTTAACGTTTGGAAAGTTCATGCCTGAGGTTGCATTTTTGTGACTCTGAGGCTAGAGCTCTGGTGAATGCTTATCCTGGTTTTGCTCATTCTTTATCCTGTCCCTCGTTCACTACATGTGCTTGAAAGAGAAGAAAGTCTGAGCAGTGCAGAGGTAGTGGAAATGCTTGAAAAAGTGAAAAAGTCCACAGTGCCTCCCGCCCCTTTCGACATTATGCAGCACTTTTTGTTGTTGTTGTTAGTTATTCCTGGGGCTTGAATCCTGAGCTGATTGGCTCAGTGTTCTACCACTTTGAGCCCCAGCCCCACTTCCAGTTTGTTGGTGGCTTATTGGAGATAAGCCACAGACTTTACTGCCTTGGCTGGCTTCAAACCTCCATTTTCAATCAGAGCCTCCTGAGTAGCTAGGATTACAGACATGAGCCACCAGTGCCTGGCTGTGGCACTTCTAATTTTAAAAATGTTTCCGCCTTATTTGTAGCATTCTTACTTTGACCCTCACCCCCTTTGAGTACTAAACTCTTACAAGGACTGTGTTCATTTAAAATGGAAACAGTTTGTCACCGGTTTTCAATGGAAACTGGTTGTCACCAGTTCTTTCCATAGAATCAGAACATTAGCTTTCTTGGAATTGAACTGGGTTTCAACCTTTAAAGAAATATGTGGAAAGCTGGGTGCCAGTGGCTCACACCTGTAATCCTAGCTACTCAGGAGGCTGAGATCTGAGGATCGCAGTTCAAAGCTAGCCCGGGCAGGAAAGTCTGTGAGATTCTAATCTCCAGTAAACCACTAGAAAACCAGAAGTGGCGCTGTGGCTCAAGTGGTAGAGCACTTGCCTTGAGCTGAAGAACTGAGGGACAGCACCCAGGCCCAGAGTTCAAGACCCATGATGGACAAAAAAAAAAAAAAAAAGAAATACATGGATGGTAACTGATTCCAATAAATTTAGGAATATGATACTAACAGGTGCATGTGTTTATAGCACATCTTACTACATGATATGAAGGAAGTTCAAGGTAAATAGAATAAATTGCTACTGGAAAGTCTTGCTGAATTATTTTAATGTTTCCAAGGTACTTAAAAAAAGTGTTTTGTTTTTTTTTAAACTCTGAGCCTGGGCGCTGTCCCTCAGCTCTTCAGCTCAAGGCAAGTGCCCTACCATTTGAGCCACAACACCACTTCTGGTTTTCTGGTGGCTTATTGGAGATAAGAGTCTCACGGACTTTCCTGCCCGGGCTGGCTTTGAACTGCGATCCTCAGATCTCAGCCTCCTGAGTAGCTAGGATTACAGCATGAGCCATCGGCGCTTGGCTCAGTTTAAATACTTTTACCTGCCACTTATTAATCCTGAAAAATGCTCAATGAAACTGAAAACAAATCCAGCATGCCCGTTTGATCTTTAGGTAAACTAATGTAGGTCCTCCCACCTTCCACCAGTCGTTTCTGCATTACAGGATGAAGAGTGAGGCTGTGCAAGGACAGGCATGTTCCTTCTCCTAAGTCTGGTTCAGTGGAGAAAGTTAATATCATTCTACTCCTTGTGGACTGCTCTGTTAGTGTACAGTTCAATCTGTTCAGAAGATTGCTTCCCTAATTACTTTTCACTGGTTTGTTTCGGGGTCTAAGCTGGTGGTCTAAGCTTTGAATGGGAAAACAGCAGTAGAAACGAGCAGATCTGTAAAGCTTTGTACTAGGCTGGAGTTGGGGTTTTCTCCTGAAGTTAAATTTGTCAAAACTTGCATGCTGTGATTTTCTACCAAGTCTGAAAATAAGCTACCTGATATTTAGGCAAATAGTTCCTTTTATTACCAGCAGCATAGCTTTAAGTGAGTATGTGTATGTGTGAGTTAGTAAAAAGAAATGGTTCATCTTGAAGTCTCGAGCCAGCAGCCTACCAGTAACTGGGCAGTGGGTGGAAACCTCCTCCTGCAGAGCCCTAGGTTGCTGCAGAGTGTGTTGGAGGGGGCAGGAAGGGAAGGAGGCACCATGCGTGTCTCCTCATGGCTTTCCTGCTCTCTCATTTCTGCCTGAGCTGCTCATCCAGCATCTGTGTCAGCTCGCAGGTGCAAGTTAGCGTCTAAGAAGAGATACTTAACTTTTCCTTTTTCATGGTACCTTTAATCTCAGTGAATTTTCAGGGTGCTACTAGGCTAATACCTAATAATTCCATTTACAAAGAAGTTAAGTCCCAGTGTCTTATCAAGTCTTTTGTCCTAACAATAGCTTGGAAACAGTTGTGGTTTGGTATTAGGAAACATCTTTGCCAGTGGATGAATCTTCACATGAGTGGCAGGATTTAACATTCGTGTAGGTCCTCATAAGGAGAACCATACTTATCTCCCAAGGCCACCCACCTCTGTGCATGCACAGACGGGACAATGGAGGCTGACCAGTTCTGGCCTTTTCTCCTGTCCCACCTTTTCTGTCTGTCTGCTTGCTAGTCTGGTCACATCTTGCCTGTATCTGGTCACAGTATGTCTTGCCAGTATTCACGGTGTGCCTTGTCAGTCTGCTCACGGTGTGCCTTGTCAGTCTATTCATGGTGTGCCTTGTCAGTCTGCTCACGGTGTGCCTTGTCAGTCTGCTCACGGTGTGCCTTGTCAGTCTATTCATGGTGTGCCTTGTCAGTCTGCTCACGGTGTGCCTTGTCAGTCTATTCATGGTGTGCCTTGTCAGTCTGCTCACGGTGTGCCTTGTCAGTCTGCTCACGGTGTGCCTTGTCAGTCTATTCATGGTGTGCCTTGTCAGTCTGCTCACGGTGTGCCTTGTCAGTCTATTCATGGTGTACCTTGTCAGTCTGCTCACGGTGTGTCTTGTCAGTCTGCTCACGGTGTGTCTTGTCAGTCTGCTCACGGTGTGCCTTGTCAGTCTATTCATGGTGTGCCTTGTCAGTCTATTCATGGTGTACCTTGTCAGTCTACTCACGGTGTGTCTTGTCTGTTCACGGTGTGCCTTGTCAGTCTGCTCACAGTGTACCTTGTCAGTCTACTCACGGTGTGCCTTGTCAGTCTGCTCACGGTGTGCTTTGTCAGTCTATTCATGGTGTGCCTTGTCAGTCTGCTCACGGTGTGCCTTGTCAGTCTATTCATGGTGTACCTTGTCAGTCTGCTCACGGTGTGTCTTGTCAGTCTATTCATGGTGTGCCTTGTCAGTCTATTCATGGTGTACCTTGTCAGTCTGCTCACGGTGTGTCTTGTCAGTCTGCTCACGGTGTGTCTTGTCAGTCTGCTCACGGTGTGCCTTGTCAGTCTATTCATGGTGTGCCTTGTCAGTCTACTCACGGTGTGCCTTGTCAGTCTGCTCACGGTGTGCCTTGTCAGTCTGCTCACGGTGTGCCTTGTCAGTCTGCTCACGGTGTGCCTTGTCAGTCTGCTCACGGTGTGCCTTGTCAGTCTGCTCACGGTGTGCTTTGTCAGTCTATTCATGGTGTGCCTTGTCAGTCTAT